CGGCCCGCCAGGCCCGCCTGGACCAGGGCCGCTGTCCCGGCGACCGCCCGCAGCCCAGCCCCGGGCCTCCTGCCCCAGGTAAGCCTCCCCAGCCTCTGGCAGATGGCCGGGGCGTATCGGACGCTGTTTCTTCTCTGCAGCCCCTGGGGAAACCTGCTGTGGTGGGACCAGGCAGACCCTGCCTCTGGTTCTCCACCCTTCAGGGCTCCAGGCTGGGACCACGGCAGCAGCACGGAGCGGAGCCCTGGCACAGCGCTTACTGCGGCTGCGCGGGCCAGAGCCACGCCATTCCCTTCCCTGGGAGCAGGGAATAACCCGGGGCGTCGCTCGGAAGACTCTTCTGTCAGCCCTACTCTTAGAAAGGCCTCTCAGCTACTAACAAAGTAATCTGGTTAGATCCCTGGTGGAACATGGGTGTTGCTAAATGCTCTCTTCATGCACGTGGACACCTCTGACTTCAGTTCTGGCTTGCAGAAATGCTCGTAGCCCTCAAACCCAGATTCCACAGGCAACGCGACAGCAGTTTAGACACTAACTGTACAACTCAGCTACAAGTTTGAATTTCTACTTGATCGTGCACAAGTGAGCAGTAGCTGTGACGCTGAGTAGGGGAACAGCTCGCACGTGGGTACTGATGGCAGATGCTACAGCACTGACGGGTCCGACCCTCTGTACTTCAGGCTTTTCCAAAGGAGCCCGCCATAGCAATTGCCAGTTTCGAATATTCTTGCTGCAGCAAGAGAAGAGTTAAAACTACTCTGGCTTGCTCCTTGGTGCATGCATGCCTCAAGGAATGAAGCATAGAACATAACCTAGAGTAACCCATGAATGAAAGGTTGGCTAATGTCACTCTTCCATTTTCAGTGCCCGTGTACCTGCCGTTCCTTCTCGTTGGGTCCGTATTTGTGGCGTTTGTTGTTGGCGGCGCCTGTGTTGGAATCTGCTGCTGCAAATGCTTAAACTCCCAGGATGAGGGGCAGCAAAGCGGACTTGCACCTGGCCAGACCTGGCTGCTAGAACCCGATCTGCCTTCTCGCCTCTCCAGTTCCAGTTCTGCCACCAGAAGCTCACTGAGTAGTGCTCCTCAGACCAGCAACATCTGCGTGACTCTAGCTCCATTCCTTCCGACTACGGGGTTGGCCGAAGACGCTCGGTTCTTAAGTCCCCCACCTACCAGTGGGCAACTCTTGCAGCCTTCGCGTGCTAACCACAGACCACCAACTGATCACACCGCAATAATGGCTCCCGCGTCTTTTCCTCAAAACACC